ATCACTTCTCACTTCCTGTTTCAGGGGGGAAAGCTGTATGAGCTAGCCCTTCTCTTCTAAGTCCTGTACTGTAGAATGAATGTCAAAATATGAATATAGATGAAAGCATTACATGCATGGGCAAGAAAAGTCAAAACCTGGAATATATTTTTATGAGTTACATGTTTGTATACATGCATTCAAATTATTCAAATGTGCAGTATTTTCAAAATCAAAGCTTTAATCTTTATTAAAAAATTTGACATTGTTTTAATTTTAAACTAAAAACTAAATTCTTTAAAATTTATGATTCTGTCTTGGGAAATACAAAAATGCAGCCAGTCAATGCCTGTTCACCTTGATTTGAACCTGGAATGAACTATAAATATTCATTGATCTTTATGGAACTATGAGCATCCAGTAGTGGGACCCACTTAAATTAGGAGCCTAGTTGTTAGTCTTTAATTTGCTGTTCTGTTTGTAAATATTTAAAGTATTTTATTCATAGGTATAAAAAGTAGAGTTAAATGCTACTTTGTAAAAACGTAATTTAATAAATTTTGTAAAAATGTAAACTAAACACACTACTTTGTAAACTACCAAGCTGTATTGCAAATGATTGTTCAGTGACATTTGCTATTATTCTATTCCTTTAGTGTTCTTGGAGTCTAAGCTAAAGATCGGATAATAATTTCCCTGCCCAAAAATACCTTTGTGGGGTCAAGGGTCAGTCATCCCTTATGTTCTCCAGATTTCTCATTTTGGTATTATTTTCGTTTTCTCAAAACTAAAGTTCCTCGTAAAGAAAAGTTTTTGGTGGCATGAAAGATGTTTAAAAAAGAAAGTGACATCTACTTTGAGCCGTGTCAAAAACAGACCTCTTCAAGCCTTCCATTTAAATACCCATTGAACTTGCATTAAGGCAAAGTTTTATTAGCATATACACTACAACATTTCTACTTTTTAAATATGCTGTATTATTTAATTGTCATACTGTGGTATACAAAGGTATGGCTATTTGAACATCAGCAAGTCGGTATTTTCGATGGTAGGGTTTTTGGAACTAAGAATCTGAAGGTAAATCAAAGTGTAATTCTTCTATTTGTGCCATAAAAGCGAAAATTCAATGTACGATATACTTACTTTTCAAAGCAGAGTTTATTTCATATTCAACAAAACAGGCTAAGCTTTAAGAGTTTGGTAGTCTTGGTCATATTCCATTTTTTAATGAAAATATATCGAATGTAAATTATATTAACACTAGTACAAACACAGCTAGTTTTTCATCATACTATTACCGGTAATTTAGAAAGTATGTTCTTTAATATGGTAATTACTGATCTTAAAAATTGCCAACATAATATGATTTAGATTATTTGCACCCAGTTTTAAGGTTGGATCATTAGGTGAAATAAAATGGATGCTGGATTTTGTTTACTAGAAAAGTTTGGGATATGCTTCTGTCATTGGGATAGGGAGGTGTTACCATTTGGTGAACAAGTTTTAACTCAGCTATTTGTCGTATGAGCTTTATTTCAAAATTAATTTGTTACTAAAATGGCTAGAAAATAAAAAGCAATCTTCCTCGGGAAAAAAACTGATATTTTAAAAGAATTTGACAAGAATATAAAATTTATGGAAATATAAATGTTGAAAAAAATAAATATGCTACCAAATGAATAACACTGAAAATAAATATTTCTGAAAGAAGGAAATGAGAAATAATAACAACAGTTTACAAAAAATCCACTTCAAAGAAGTGAGTTCAAGGCAAAATATTTGGATGTCCAAACCGTATTTTCCTAAAGTTTTAACGCTCAGTGCATTGGTGTCGAGCATTCCAGAGAAAGGGTCTGTATTAACAGAGAAGACATAATAACATTGTGGGTGAATGCAAAAGGCAAATACTTTCTCATTAAAAGGTTATATGAATTTAAATTACGTCTTAAAATGCTATATCATATCATGAATGGCGAATCTAAAGATGTCTCAGTAGAATGTGTTGTAGATTTAAAAGTTTATCCAAAGAAAATATGTGGATATCAGCTAAAACATTTTCATTGTTGATGAAACCAACATTAAAGTAGACGTACTTCTTTCATCTGATGCCTTTAAAATGCTTAGCCTAAAATGATGTTCAGTAGTCTAATAAAAGTCGCTTCCCTGTTAATTTTCCAAATACTGATGAAACAGAAGGTGATACCTTTACTTATATAAATGTCAGTACCAAGATATTTTGAAAATGTTTGTAGTATATAGTGAACAAAAAATTGCAGAAAATTTTTAATATATTTGCAGAAAGCTTGAAAAAAACAACAAAGCATTAAGGAAAAAATTTCCCTAAAATTTAATATTTTTTTGATTTAAAATTTTAATTAATTTTATTCTGATACAAATTGATTCTTGTGATTTTAAAAATGAATATTTGACTACAGTATAAATAATATTATAAGAAACTAAAAGCAGGATCATAAAGCAGTGGCATAATGATAAAACTGTGTGAAGCAATGTATGTAATTCATACTAAATTAAAATGCCAGTTACATGTCTTTCTTATTTATATGTTGTTTCTGAATGGCCGATTGAAAGACTTATTAACTGTGCTGTATTGTACTTTTTCTTTCGATATATGCAGTTTTAAGATGTATCATAATATAGGTCGCAAAGTAATCTTTTGAAGCATGCAATACACATAAATAAAATGAAATTTTCTAAAATTCATATTAATAATTTTGCTTATAATGCATATTTTGAATGAATAAATAAAAAGTTTTAAAATAATTATTTGAAGAAATTTAATTCAACCATGCAACTCAAACAATTAAAATGAAGTCCTGAAAAAAAAAAAATGTGTCTAAAAATTACAAGTGTGATTAAAAAAAACGTAATATCAAGAAAAATAATTGAAAGAATAAATGAAGCACCTTTTTTTTTCTTTTTCTTTTCTTTTCTTTTCTTTTTTTTTTTTTTTTTCTATTTGTGGGAAAGTGGTTACCGTAAGTTAAGAATTTTGCCAAGCGAATTATTTTTGGCATAAACAGAAAAAAATATGCAAAGATAAATTTTTGAGTTTCTCTGTAAGTTTCTCACTAAACTTTACAAAATTTGGTATTTAAGCATAATTTGAGTCATAGGATCGAAATATGGAAAAATACTGACATGTCATTTCAGAAAACATTTAAATGTCAAAATATATATACTAAAACAATTCTATATATAAATCTAATATATATTCTAAGCTACACTTTTGAGACATGAAAAACATCAATTGAATTTCACCAGTTGGCCCAGTAAGATGGGGAATATAGAACTGTCCCACTTTTTTTTAAGTTGAATGTACACTGAATGTACTCTGCGAAAAAAAAAGGGGGACAGTTCCATATCTTCTGTTCTACTGTGCCGATTGACGAAATCCAACTTGCGTTTTTCGTGTCTCAAAAGCGCGATTTAGGATATATATTATATTTATATATAGCATTGTTTTAATATAGGTATTTTAACAAAAAATCTGACCTTTTCTGAAGTAATGTACCAATTTTTTCCCATATTTCAATTCTACTACTCAAATTACACCAAACTATCAAGTTTTGTGAAAATCGCATGAGCAGTTTTTAAAAAATTAGCCCTCAAAATTTAAACTCTTCAGTGTTAATTGAGTTTGGTATATATTTATTAATTTCTTTTTTTTTTTATTAAACTTATTTGATTCTTCCTTTCAAATTTCAAAATTTAGGTTCATTCTAAATAAAATCCACCCATTTTTTATGATTTATTTTTTTTAATTTGTATTTTTAAATAATTTTTAAAAAATTGTCAAAAAAATTTTTTTAATTATAATCTATAAAATTTTTAACATCATTTTAAAGTAGACGTACTTCTAAGCATACATACCTGCAAAAATTTACAGTTTTGTATTTAAAATTTTCGAAGATATACATGAATTTATATATGGGCACGTTTTGAAATTTGGCATATTTGTTGAAAGTGATAAAAATCAAATGTGGTTTAGACACTTTGCTGAAATTATTTGGAAGTAGAAACGATGTGCCTTTTTGTCCGCTCATGCACAATGTAAAACGATAGGAACGAGGTGCCTTTTTTTCCACTCGGCCATAATGGAAGGGAGAGGAAAATTGGTTGCCACATATTAAGAAGTTCGCCAAATGAATTATTCTTGGTGTAAACTAAAAAAATTGGGCCAAGATAAATTTTTGAATTTATCCATAAATTTTGCACTAAATTAAAAAAAATTTGTCTCTATGCATAATTTGAGTCGTAGAATCAAAGTATGGAAAAAGTCCAATTTTGTGTCAAAATACCTATATTAGAACAATGCTATATAAAAATCCTAACCTAGTTAGAACAACGCTAATCCTAGCGCTTTCAAGACATGAAAAACACAATTTGAATTTTGTCAATCGGCTCAGTAGAATGGGAGATATAGAACTGTCCCCCCTTTTTTTTGCACAGTGTACATTGAATGGCATCTTCTAAGTCTATTTGACATTAATTGGCTTTTATGATGGGATCACTTAAAAGTCTTTATGTCAATTAAAGACATGACTGGTTTACAGAACCTGTAAGAAAGATCTGTCTGACATCATTAAATATTAAACAAGAAATTTTAGAACATTAGATGGAGTACTGAGGAATAATTTTGTTTCTGTATTTAATATTTGATTTTTCCTGAGGGATCACTTTAAATTCTTTGTTTATATTCAAGCAATTATTGATTAATAACATTTGATCAAAGAAACTGTGTTGCTTGTTATTATTATCATAGGGATCATGATTTCATTGAAAATAAGTTACTGAAGTGTCATCATTAACTAGGTGCATATTTCATCTACACAGTTGGATTCAGAATATGTAGCATATGTGCTGTATCAGACTTGCAAAGTTCCTTGTAATTCTCGATGTATGGGACATCCTGTTTGTAAACCTTTATAACACAATAGAATAATTTAAAAAATATATAAGCATTTCTTTATAGTTCTAAATGTTTCTAATTGTAGAATGAAGAAAATTACCTGCATAGCACTGAATTCTTCTTCAAGCATCTTATATATAGGTACTATGTGTGGAAACATATATACCTTAAATGTTGGAACTTTTGAAATGGCTGAAAGTGTGATTTACCAAGATGTTATTGTTCAAAAGTAAGAACATATTTTAAAATCATTTCCATTTCTGTAGAAATATGTTTAATAATTATTTCAAATTTGTAAGCATTGTGAATGATTATTTCTTTAAGAAAGAAGATGATATTTTAGTTCTAAAATGATATATGTCCTCAATTTAAATCAGAATACTGTTTATACTTTTTTCCCCCATCATTGATAGAAGTAGAAATGCATGGGGAGGTACAGAAGTTCTTTTAATTTTTTTTTTAACTTCACCAAAACAACGTAGTTCATCTTATTTGCTTTTTTTTTTTTTCTGATTGTAAATATTAACTATTTGATCTAGCTCACTAATATGCTAAAATGAGACTGTTCTAGGCAGTTGATTATTTTGACTAAAATTAACTAACAGATAAGTATAATAACATGTAAAACTAATTAAAACAACTATTGAATGCCATACTTGCATTATAATTACTAAATTAAATTTCCTCTAAAACATTTGAGATTTGAATACAGATTACAGTTTCAGCAAAGGAAATGAGTGCTAAATTCTGCAGGGTTCAGAACTCACTCAAAGAGATGGCTAAGTATACATAACCCAGTTGCTGAACTTGCTACTGATTTGATGATTCTTGACTACTCTAAATCTGCTGAATAGTCGTATACACAGGTACTATAAATGGTCATAAACCTCATGGGAGAATGCACAGCTTGGCAGTCTTCTTTCCTGACTATTATATGGGATGTCTGTGGCATTATAAATCTGGATATTTCTGGAACAGTGATAATTTGGAGGTAACAAAGTATAGCACATGATAAGGAAAAGCTGCTTAGATGTTTAAGTTTTTTCACTTTGGAAGTTAAGTAATTAATATTTTTTAATAATGTCATTTTCAGTTTATTTTTATGCCACATAACCTTTGCTTAAGTCTCACCATGTATAAGTTTAGAACACTGCATTAAGTATGTGTTTGGTATTAAGTATGTGTTTGAACACTGCATTAAGTATGTGTATGTGAACACTGCGTTAAGTATTTAGTTGTGCACATACAGTTTCCCTTCAGCATTCTATTTGTAGTTCAGTTATTATACCATTTATTCATATTCCCAAATGTTTTTAAATTGATTGTTTGTCTGAATATTATCTAGCTATTGAACATAGTGCAGTTTTTTCTTATCCACTCTGTGTGAAATGCGACTTGGTCTGGAATCCTATGTTACGTCCCAAGTAAATATTACATAGTAGTTTCACTGGGCATGGAATCATTTATTGCGAGAAAAGACTACTTTCAGTTGACTAAATGTTTCAATAAATTGAAACTGCGACTTCTTAAATTTTGGATTTAAGCAAAAGAATGAGTATCATTAGCAGTGAAAGCAGTTATTTTTTTTAAGCCACTTTTCAACCACCTACTTGTGCAAACTCAGCTTTTTTTTCCCCCTAATAAACATAGAAAACAAAACACAGAAGTGAACGTCTCTCATTCGACAAAAAAAATGTGTGATGTTAATCTTTAATTGAACACAAATTGAACTTTGATGTAAGATATTGCAAGTTGAAATTTCTCATTAGTAATTTAGATTTTTTTAGTGTAAGCTAATAAAGCCTCTGTGAAATAATTATGTGTAAACCATTTGATATTTTTCTTGTTCTTTTTTTTTATTAATAGTGACTGAAATAATTGTAATTTTTTTAACTAGAAGTTTCATAGACCTTGACATTTCATGGTATGCTCATCAGATCTTTAGCATGTTAAAAATCATTGGTCAGGCTTGATGTATTTCTTCAGATAACATTCATAGCTGACACAACATATACAATAATTTGATAAAGAGAATTTTTTGTTATGAAAAAGAAGGTATGGAATAATTTTCAGTAAATTGACATTGACATCATATGTGGTGAAATGTGTTGAATCTCTTGAGTGTAAAAAAAAAAAAAAAAAAAAAAAAAAAAAAAAAAAAAACGGAAAAAGGTAACTGAGGACTTTATTTATTTCTGTGAAATTGAATAGTCTTTTTCCCTTATGTATTATTCTCCATATTGCAAATCTGCTATATAGTCTGTACTTTTATGTGAAAATCTGATTAAAAGTGTAAAAAGTAAATAAACATGCACAAAAGAAAAACATATTTGTAAGTAAATCAATGTAGATTAATATTTTTTAATTTGTATATTAGCATGGAATATAATCTAAACAGCTCTAAATCTCTTGATGGAATAAGCTTGTATTGATGCTATGTAAAGTAAATGGCAAACAAATAACTGAGGATTTGAATTATTTCTGTGGAACTGGATAGTTTTCCCCCCTCATGTACTATTCTTCATATTGTAAATCTACTACACTTTCCATACTTTAATATGGAAATCTAATTAAATGTATAAATAAATAAACTTCTACAAAAAAGAGAGAAAACGTATTTGTAGATAAATTGATGCAGATTAATATTTTTTCATTTGTGTATTAGCACAGAGATGTAGTCTAAAAAGTTCTAAATAGTTGGCTAGCTCACATACCTTTCTGTTTTGAATAATTGTTTGTTATATTAATGTTGCATGCGTACAGGTTCGTAATAAGTTGAATGCACAAGTTTGATAAAAAGTCTATAAAATTTATTCTTATTACAAGAAATAAAAACAAAATGCTGAAATTTTTCTCACAGATATTTGTACAATATCACAATATCAAACTGTAGTTATATTTTAAACTACTGAAATATTAAATAGAACTCAATCTAAAGCTCAGAGAAAGCTAATCCGATCTCGCTGTGAATTTGGTACATTTAATAATAGCACTAAGTAAACAACTGAAATTTTTCGTTCTGGCTTTTTAAAGCTTTTTAATCATGCATGAGAACATTATGGTAATTTTTATTTTCTCGAGGTTTCTGGAAAGCAAAAGACTACAAGATATCTATTTATTAAATGTGCATGCTCCTGTATTTTTACTTTTTTGGCATGGCTTTCTCTTAAAACTCGCCACTCGCTGCATTGCACGGGAAAATAAAAAAAAATTTAATTGCAATGCTATAAAAAATAGCTAAATAAATACAAAATCTGTAACATAAAATTAAACTGTTGGATAGTCAAATGTATAGCTTATGATATACTGCTAAACATTGAAATTGCAGCACTAAGAAGCTGTAGAAATTTGAAATGTATAGAATTGATAGATATGTCATTAATTAAAAATTGGAAACAAAATATGCAAATCATCTCAGTATATTCTGTGTGTAATATGATTGCCATGTATAGAAATATATACTCTTACACACCTTGATGTGCTATCAATATGGTCATTAATCATTATCTGAAGAATGTGTAGCCATAGTGCAAGTACTTGGGCATATAACACATCAAGACTGTCAGCTGAATCTTCGTTTCTATTAGCTGATCACTGATATCACAGATGTGCTTGATGGAAGACAAATCTGGATATGTTATTGGTTAACTCGTGAGATCTCTTTAGGCTATCCATAGTAGCAGAGGTAACATGTGGCCTTTTGTTGTTGTGTTGAAAAACAGCTATTGAGATGTACTGTACGCTTATACATACTACTGGCTTCATAAATAAATCAACATAACATTGAGCTGTCTGTTGGTGTACTAGGAAGAAAGATTAAAGAGAGTGCCTATTATGCATATTGCTTGTTCACACTGCTATTTTAGGACCAGAGCTTCACACCATTCCATTGTGAAGGTTTGCTGATGGTATCTCTGACCATCATTGCTTGTGAAAGAAAAATTAGACTTATTGTTATAGAGCAGTGGTATTAAGTCTTCATGGCAGTGCAACCCCATAAAAATGCAAATGACCCCCAAAAATAATTTCATGACTCCAATAGAAATTCAAAAGTGTCAACCCTTAGTTATATACTATCAATTCAGATTTTTAAAAATTTTTATCCATCTTGTGACCCCACTATAAATTTTCATGACTTTAAATGGGGTCTCAGCCCTTAATTTGAATACCACTGCTGTAGAATACATCTCTTCTAGTCTGGATATACTTCATGATAGGATTTATGAGCAGTGGCTTGAGGCAGTTGGATGTCTTTATCTGGTTATCTAGCTGATAGCTCGAGTATCATGCAAGTGCCTTTTGATGGTTTTTGTAAATTTTGCTTTAATTCCTGAGCTTAATTATGATGTTCAAGTTCATATGCAATAGAGGAAGGATCACTGTATATTATCTTTTGCTATAGTCGAGCAGAAGTTCACCTGTGGCCATTGTTTGCTGTCATCTGAGTTTGTCATTATTCTTGCAACCTGTGGGAGCTACAATGTTGAACAGTGCCAATATTTTGGCTGAAACGTTCTGCCAGAGTGATAAATCAACATTTTTGTTTTCAAGGTTTATGGGACTCTGTATGTGAAGTAAGTGGTAATAAGTGGCATATTGATGATTCCAAGACATTTTGCTATCAAACCAGAAGACTTAATCCGATTTCTAAAGTCCATTCGCAGAAAAATTGCCTTAGATCAAGCTTTTAAGACATTTATGCCTCTTTTGCTTATTGCTGTTTGGAGCTGGATGCATAAATATTTTATCGTTTGCATGACTAACTACACCTACAGTCCTCCTAATTTGCATAATTTGAAGGCTTTTCATCTTAGTATTGTAATTTCAGTGATAACAGTGTAATTTGATTATCAACTTTTCTTGATTACTAAAGAATTTTAATGTGAGATACCTTCTTTATTAACATGTCAACATTCTGTACAGCATTCCAGATGATAAAAAATTAAAGCAGGGTGCAGTAAAAACAATATCATATCACTCCAGTAATCCAGATTGTCTTCTTATTGGCTATCAACAAGGATTAATAACTTTATGGGACACAAAAAAATTGGTCGTCGTTAGTACCTTCATCATTAGTCAGGTAGGTTCATCTTTTTTTTTTTTTTCCTCATTTGTTTTTGCAGCTCAGATAATTCTCTTTATTAATTTTTTGGCTTATGTTGTAGAGTCTGGAATCAGTGGCTTGGCATCATAATGGAGACCAGTTTATCAGCTCTTACAGTGATGGTAGTTATGTGATTTGGGATACTCAAGACTCTTCAAAGCCATCTGAAGTGCCTTTGACACCATATGGCATGTATTTGGCATTTTTTATACTAAAATGGACCCTCTTGGTAAAGCTGGGAGACTCCCAACATTTCATCTCCCAGTAAATCTCCAAATTTCCCTGTTTTTAATTTATCTGGATTTAAATTATCTCTGTCAAAACAATTCTTGAAAAATTTTGAACTAATAATTGGTGATGAATAGTTTTGCTGAAAAAGAAAATACTGTGAAAAAATTGTGATGAAAAATTCTTGGGGGGGGGGCTAGTGAAGTCAGTAATATTGTCATTTCTAAATGGAAATCAAGTTCAAATTCTCCCTCCTCCCAAAAAGATTTTTGGTATAATTTTTCTGATTAATTTTTATTCAGTTTGAATTGTTATCTGTTATATAAAGATTTTAGAATGTTCTATGAAGTCTTAATATAATGTTTAATAGGTACAAATTTGTATGTAATCTTTTTTACTAACATTTCACAGATTACCCTTTTTTTAAATTTTGTTTAAAATCTTTGAGTGGTAATATGTAAGTTTATGTACACTTTTATTGTTAATTTTCATAGAATTTAAAATCATTTTGATAAGTGAAAGCCCCCCTCCCATTTGAGTTTTTATCAATATGAGTTCTTAAAAAAATTGTAGAATCTATGGTGGTTGCTGTTGACTAGAAAAGACATTGCTTCAGATTTGCTAATTTTAAGAAAGCCCTTTTAGTGTGATCGGTTTGAGGATCATGTTATTATCCAAAGGTTTACAAGATTCAAGCCTGATATAGAGCAAAGCAGACAAAAAAAAAAAAAAAAAAAAAAAAACATTGACTTTCAGTGATGCTGTTTATCAGGAAGCATTACTATAAATAAATAATGAAAAAGCTCTGTTTTGTAGGATTCTGACTTTAGGAAAAGTCAATTCTAATTATTCTGTTTCCGATTCCTTGAAAGAAAGAGATGTGTAATATTTTCCATTATAGTGAAGAGGCTTGCAGGCACTAAGGATCCCTGAAAAACACTTCCCCTTTTAGTTCCATGCAGGGGAATAGAGAATACTTTCTATTATTCTGATAAGCCATATTATTTCAGATCCCATTGGAAGAGAGGAGGTTTGTCTGATATTCTGCAGGAAAGCAGTTAAAAAATTAAAAAATAACAAGACTGGTGACAGAGTACTTTTGGGCACCCTTCCAAATTTTCAGAATGCAGTTTTAAAAATTTAGAGTGTGACTGAGATGATTTTAATTGACTGAGCAATGGAAATATAAAATAATAAATAAAAAGCTAAAAAGTGAAATATGTATATATTTTTGCTGTCAATGTAAAATAATTAAAAATGTAAGAAGGAAGAAAACTTTCAAAAATTTAATGTGTGAAAAATTAACCTGGACTACAAGAAACTCCATGAGTCATATCTTACTGTATACACTTGTCTCATAGTAATGCGATACAAATACAAGGTAACCTAAGGTAAACTGAATCCAAAGCCAATGAAGAACTCATGAACTGTAAGACGATATTGTACAAGTAGATAAAAGTGGTCAATGTGCATAACAGCTCAGTCCGTGACTATGTCTAATACACTAACTCAATTTGTAAGGAATCATGAGTTGAACAGTTAAATACACTGACTGATAATAGTTGAATACACTAACCCATGGTTCTTATCCTTATTTACCCCATTCACCCCTTTCACCATTACTAGAAGATCATTCCCACCTTTCTTTTCCAAAACTCAAAAATTACATGTGCATTTATTTATATAGATTCAGGTAATATTTTGATGACACAGCAAGAGACAGGTGCAGTCAGGCTGACCGCATTCTCTCCCAGAAATTCACCGTAGGGAGGAATTCTCTCCTGGTTGAGAATCCCTACACTAACTGCTTTTGGTTTCTTTCTCTCCCTTCACTAGTTCAATTTATCTTGAGCTTATATCTTATATAGTACCCACTTTACATGATAACAAACGTGCTAACCATGGAGTGATTGCTATAGCTCAGATGAGGCACAGTAAAAAAATTTTATGCGGCCAGTACATGACTTTTCAACAATTTCATGTTTTAAATAACAATGAGCTTTAAGTAAAGCATCAAGTGATAATTTACATGAAGTTCGTTGTTATTTAAAATATGGAGATGGTTGATCATTTGTAAATAAAATCAGTTTACAAACTTTGTGTCTCAGTGATAATACTATAGAAACTAAAAATTATTTATTATTCTAGTCTCCCATACTGTGCAAAATGATAACTATATGCATTTAAGTAAACATCAATCCTCAAGCTTTTATTTGAAAATACTGGATGGTTACAAAAAAACTTTCCCGATATATGAACCCATAGCAGTCTATCAATTCAATCAATCAAAATGAAATTTCAGATACTGTTATTTGAAAGTTTGCACTCAAGATTGTGGTGATTTAAAAACAGAGCTCTTGCAATTATGGTTATAACAAAATAATTTCAAAATTTTCGAATGGCAACTTTCCACCTTTTTTTCTGCACAGATCGATCAGTGCATTGAAAACCATACATGATATTAGAACATACGATGAATGTGTATGACAAAAATTGCCGATGTAAACAATTTGTAAAGAAGAGCATTGTAGAGGATGAATGACAACACAAAAGAGGAGAGGTGGAAAAAAACTTTTATTGTAATTACAAAGTTTTCAATATGCCCTCTTTCACAGACAATAATGCACTGCATGTGGGAGATTGGTGACAACAATGATGAAAGTAACTTCATCATTAATTAAGACACAATAACATGCCGAATAAATACTAATTCAGAAGTCAAACAACAAAAATCAGCATTATATTTGCAAAATTTTAACAGGACTAGTTTCGATGGTTTTCCCGAACCACCATCTTCAGCTGCAAAACCGCAAAATGCGGTTTTGCAGCTGTTATGCACATTGACCACTTTTATCTACTTGTACAATATCGTCTTACAGTTCATGAGTTCTTCATTGGTTTTGGATTCAGTTTACCTTAGGTTACCTTGTATTTGTCTCGCATTACTATGAGACGCATTACTGTTTGACTTCTGAATTAGTAACTTCATCATTGTTGATGAAGGTTATGTGGGTGGTAATGATGAAGGTTATGTGGGGGGAACTTCACATTTTATGGCTTCTTTCAATTCTGGCAAATCTCGGGGATTTGATGTGTACAACTTCAGATAACTCCAAAAGTAAACATCAATTGGAGTGATGTTGCTGCAAAATTGCAAATTTGCAGATTGACGATTCAGGCTTGAAGATGGGATTCTATCTTCAAAGTACTCTTGCAACACTTACCGAACAGATGTGGTGACGTGTAGAAGAGCACCATCTTGCATATAATGTTATTAACAACATTTTGGCGCCGCATTTCTGAAATTACGTGATTCTGCAGCATTGTTACACAGTACAAAATCCATAATCCGGACTCGTTGGGACTTCGGCGATTCCGGATTATCGGTTTTTCTGGATTATAGTAATGCGATACAATTTAAATCTGGTAAGATGGCATGCAGAAATTATACAATTAAATATATAAAACCGTAATTTATGAAATAAAAAGCAACTATGATCTAAAGGGTATCAAAATTTACAAAAAAAAAAAAAAAAAAAAAAAAAAAAAAAAAAGCTTAATATTTATTTACTTTATTAAACATTTCTTTCAATGTAAGTTGCTTCCTTATATTTGTGCTAAACACGCATGCATAGACATTAAACGTGCATGCGTAAAGCATACCAAAAAAAAAAGCTTGTGGCTTTGAGGTGCAGATTATAGATCATTCCGGATAATGGATGTCCGGATTACAGACTTTGTACTGTATACTGAATAAGGGTTGTGATGAAGACCGCTCACTATATATTTTGAAGAAGTATTCTTTAATGCGCATAATTCATTAAAACGCACACTTTCGATTTTGCTGATTTTGGCACTCAACATTTGTACAGAGCTGTAAGATCCGTGAAATAAAGGTAACTAATACACCACTCAATGACGACAATTGCTTTCATGAGGAGGTATATTTATTCACACACAAACACAAAAATAAATAATTTTTAACATATTAGAACGTTGGCTGAAAAATCTGCCAGTAATACTGCACTCACCTCTGTCTTTCTCCTTACCAACTCAACTGTTCTTTTTGGCAAAGTTTTTCAGTAGTGCCCAAATAAGGATTGGGGTATGATGATCTCTTACTCTATATTTTGAAGAACTATTCTTTTAACACTCACTTTCTGTTCTGTTGACTGCATCACTCAATAATATAGAAAGCCGAATAATCTGTGAAATAAGGGTAACTAATGCTGCACTTAGTGAAGATAACTGCTTTTCATGAGAACATACTTTTATTTTCGCAGACAAAATATGTTATATATATATATATATATATATATATATATATAAATTTTGCATATAAGAACATTGGCAGAATAATACACTGTCAATACTGTGTGCACCTGTCTTTACACTGACTGAACTGTTCTTTTTGCTGAAGTTCTTCATTGTGGCCTTTATGCCTGTGCCTACAGTTGGCAAAGTTCACTTTCTTGGCATTTGTTTTATTTCATTTTACAAATGCTAAACATTAGAACCTAATCCAGCGGCTCTCAAACTTTTGACTAATGCGTACCATCTAAACAAAAACTGAAAACCTTTAGTACCACCACTACAAAGTTCTATTACCACCACCACTCTTGAAAAAATCTCAGATCGCATAAATTTGCGAGTGTTTGAGAAAAAAACTTAATCAGAATGTTGGGGCTTATTTTTTGAATTTAATAGTTACAAATACTTTGCTTCTTTGCACACTGCCTATTTTTCTGTTACCAGTAGTATGCATACCACTGGTTGAGAACACCTGACCTAAGCCATTAGTTCAGGGGCTCTCCAGTACTTTTAAACAAAGTCCTCAATCTGAGAAAGTGCAATACAGATATTGAAATGTTCAAAAACCATAGGCTGATTGGAGTCACACACAACACAGCTTGGGGAATCCACCAGCCCAGTTCTGCAGAGGTGATCTCACAAACAGTCCTGTCCAGTCAGATGTCTAAATAAAGCCACCACTGTCTTTCTTAGAAAACTGGAAATGGTTCTCTCTTCCCCCAAAATACTCCATATCTTATCTATAGCATGTTGAATCATATCCTGTTTAAGAATTTTCTTAACAGGTTAACAAACAATTTAGTTGTATGAAAAGAAAAAAAGTGGTTGTTTAATGCGCTGCTTTATCAAAGTTCCTTTTTTAGCCACTGTATCAGTTTTCTCATACTCCATAATTCCACAGTTCTCGGAATGAATTGGAAAGAAATTCTATGTGCCAGTGCCTTAAGCAAAGGCCTACAGTCAGAGATTCTTTGGGAACTATTTTGATTATTCAAAAGGGCTTGGAAGTGCACTTTTGGACTGACAATAAGACTGCCTGTAAAAAAGTGTGGTTACGAATCAGCAGTTGTTGAATAGCCACAGCAATGGATGTGATTTCACCATCAAAGGCAGTAGTAAGTGGGCCCATTGGTAAACAGAAACTAAATAGTTCACAATGGGTACCTGCTCCAGTACCTCATACTGCCTATAACATAGAGTCGCCAGTGTAGACACGCATCCACTTATTTTGAGGATAGTGAACCCCAGCAATCTCCTCTGCAATGGATCTTAATTGTGAATCACTCATTTTGTTTCTAACAACTCTTTATATAAGATATAGAGATTTATATTCAATTTCAAAAAGTCCAAGGGTGAAGGGAGAGAAGATAGATTATCTCGGCAGAATTCCAGAGCATCAGATTCTCTCTGAGGAGCCTGGATAAAGCCAATTTGATTTTTGAGATTTCTAAAAATTTCAATATTAAAGTTCCTTCAAAAAGAGTTGTTAGGCAAACGCACAAGCTCTTGATATAATAGGATCACTTTTCTTGTAATAAAATGATGAAGGTTCTAAAATGGTTAAAAGCTGCATTGCAAGAACAGGAGCAGATCTCACTGCCCCAGTAATTATGTGCATGACACTTCATTCTGGAAGACTTCGAACTGATCTCCAGAGAAGGATCTGGGCCACATTCTTCGGAGTCGTGATGAGAATTTCACTATGGTAACTAATAATGAACATACAGTTTGTAAGCAGTCATCAATGTCTCTCTGTGATAGCCCCATCTTGAGCCAGTCAGACATTTTAATACAGATAATCTTCTCCATGGCTTTAGTTTTGAAATGTTCTACAGTCAAAAGCCGTTAATTCGGACACCCATAATCCGGAATGATCTATAATCCGGACCTCAAAGCTACAAACTTTC